TAGAAGTTCTAGTAAAATGAAACTGTTAGTCCAGTTTTAAGTAGAAGTTCAGTTCAGTGTGGTTTAGTTTTCAAACACTTAAAAGCAAATCCATTGATGCGCAGCCCTACAAGACCCAAACCAAGCAAGCCAGTGGCGAGGAACAAAATTTCACCAATTGATGAAAGTGAAAGAAAAAAACCTTGAAAGAAACACAACCATTTCTCCTCTGGCCAAACTACCTATGCAGATTAGGAAAACATGTTTCACACACTCAACTTAAAAACATAAAAAATGAATAATTTAAAGTCTAAAATTTGTAGTGCAAATAGTTTCCGCTTGATCTTCATCATTTACTAACAATTCAATTATTCACAAAACAGCTACAACCATCTTCCAACATATGCATAACACAATAAAATGCAAAATTGCAAAATATTCTAATATTGAACATTAGAATTAGGGCGAAGCAGTGGCGCAGTAGGTAGTGCTGTCGCCTCACAGCAAGGTCACTGGGTTGCTGGTTCGAGCCTCAGCTCAGTTGGCGTTTCTGTGTTAAGTTTGCATGTTCTCCCTGTGTTCGCGTGGGTTTCGTCCGGGTGCTCCAGTTTCCCCCACAGTCCAAAGACATGTGGTACAGGTGAATCGGGTAGGCTAAATTGTCCGTAGTGTATGAGTGTGTGTTTGAATGTTTCCCAGAGATGGGTTGCGGCTGGAAGGGCATCCGCTGAGTAAAAACTTGCTGGATAAGTTGGCGGTTCTTTCCCCTGTGGCAACCCCTAAGCCGACAAGAAAATGAATGAATGAACATTAGAATGTACCAAGTTGTATAAAGTTTAAAATCTAATCGTAAAATCCTTTAAAAAGTAAAGTCTAATATAACTTGGCTCGAAAGACGAATTCAAGTCCATAATTTTCATTTAAGGGTCTTATCCTGAATCAAACAATAGCATATATGAAGTGTTTGGGTCCGCAGAAGTATCAAAAGTTACACACTGTAGCTTAAAGGAGAGCTCTTTACACCAGTAAGCTAATAAATATTTGATGTATTACCCTTGACAATGTCTTTAATGTTTATTACAAACTCCCTGCAGTTTTGCCCTCAAGCACCTTAAAGACCTAAACTAAAGTCCTCTTATTGACAATGTTTTATCAGCTGGAAAACTATTTTTGAGAGTGACTTCAACAAACCTGTTTCTCTGTGATGGCGTTTTAGTTTTGACTGGACATTTTTTCATATTACAAAACTCTCACTCTCCACTTCACTGTGGGAAACGGTATGAAAAAAGGTCAAGCATTGCTTCGAATCTATTAAAGAGTTTAATATTGCTTTAAATTCTGTAGCTTTATTTTTGTCATTTGATTTTCACCCATGTTTAAATATTCAAGTTATTTGGACGTATTTATTCTGATGTTACTTAAAAAATTTGACTTTAAGCTGCATTTAATGTAATTTCTACACATTATTATTTTTCATTTAAAATCTGATGTCTCGTCTTTGACGACTCTATAAAAAAACTTCAACAATAAGGGAGTTTTAGAAATGACGCCATTTCAGGAAACTCTGTAAATGTTTTTAAAAGTTCAGCAACTCCATAAAGAATGTTGCACAATCCTTACGGGAATTCAGACATAATAGTGAATCACTGCAGTAAAGTATTTTCTCCATTTGTTTCGACTTTGACATCAGCTGAAAGGAGCAACCTTATTATCCAAACACCGTAAAACATGCATAAACTTACAACTCCATTTTACTCAACTATATAGTAGAACCCACAGTTATTTTTTTTACACCGTTTCGCCTATTTACACAGGAGTTTCCATCATTTACAAGACATAAAGAATGTTTACTGCCAAACCTTTATGGCTAACCTTTCACTCCTAAACCTCAGCTTTCAACAAAAACAACCGAAATGGCACAAACAACAGGCGCCAAAAACCACATTCTGCATCCTACATAATTCATTTATGCACACAAAACAGTTTTTCTGTTCTAAATCCAAGACAACGGGACTTAATATATAGCAGAGGGAGTTTCTCAGACATTTGGTAACGATTTAAGCTAGCAGGAGGTAGAGGGGGTAAAAAAACCCTGAACACTTCATTAACCTGATTGGCAAGACATCAGCACCCGCGGACATGAGCTGATAAACAACCATCAGGACACATTCAGAGGGAAAACCCTGCTAAAAATACACAGCAAAATACTTTCCTTCCTTTAATCACCTCAGCCAGTGTGGTTTTGTTCCCCTGAGGCCAAAGATGTTGTATGAACACAAACCACTAACACCTGAAGAGCACGTCTGGAAAACTTATGAACTTTTGGCTAGACTCGCATGAGCATTTACACAAAACCTGGCTATTTAAATTGCAATGTTGGAGTTAAGGATCAAATACGATTTGCCTTAGTTGATTGGACAAAACCAATTACTGCAAGTCAAAAAAATTAAAGCAGCAAATGATTTTTTAAATCCAACAATCTAATTAATACTGCCAGGTTTGGTGTATATGTTCATGCAAGTTTAGCCAAAAGTTCATAACATTATCACAACTATTGTGGCAACAAAAAAATATTTTAGCAAGCAGTAGCCACAATTTAGAATTTCGCCAACACCTTTCAGTTAAGCGTTTGCCAAAATTGCAAACTGAAAACAATTCAAATAAATCAAGTGAACATGTACACTACCTTACAAACGTCGTCAGCGATCTCAGTTGCAAGAGCAACACATAATAACTTGACTTCTAGTTCATCATTTGGAAGTGTCAGAAGGTAGATTTTTCCAATGAAACATCTATTGAACTGCATCACATTCATCACAAATACTGCAGAAGACCTATTGGCACCCGCACAGCACCGTGACTTTTTATTCTTTACAGTACATAATTTCTGTTAAGTGACAAGCCTTTTGTCTAAAAAAAGCCAGATAAAGCTTATTTTTGGTAAAATAAGCTTTATCTAGAGGCCTTTACCTTTCATATAAGCCACTCCTGATACCAAATGATCAACTAGAAGTTATTATTTGTTGTTCCTAAAACTTGGATGGGTGACAAGACTTTTGTCAGGTAGTGTGGAATGTTTTTGTTGAATTAAATTGGGGGAGCAAAATATTTATTTCAGCCTTTAACCATCCATGGCTGAAATGTTTTTGGTAAAAAGGTCTCCTCCACTTTGCAAGGCTTTACTTATTTAAATAAAAATATAACAACAACAGTTTAGTTATGAAATATTACATTTTTAAAAATAGCTCAATAATAAATTTTAAAACTGATGGCAAAACGAAAACAGTTCGGTTTTAGTTTGAGAGTAGTCAAATAATCCTTCAGAAATCTTTCAAATATGCTGCAGATCTAGGGCTCAAGCAACATTGTCAATGTTGACAACAGCTGTTAATATTTCGTAGAAACCATAAAAATAATAATAACAATAAGTCTTTATTTGGATACTTCATGACAATTTGTAGATTCTTTAATGTGACTCTTTAATGCGAGTTTGTCCTGCATAACAGTTAAATTGGCAAGTCTAAGCAAAACATCTCAAATATAGTTACAGAGACCTTAAAAATCGTCTTTTCAATTCATGTGATGAAAGAGCGAGCGACCAAAGGTTTAATCTTTAGGATTTTATTAAAATACCTTGTGGAATTTACCATCAGAGGTTACCATCACAAACATGATTGTTTTCTAATAAAAAAGTAAACAAAAACAAAAGTAAAGCTTAAGAGCCTAGTTACAGGATTTTTTTTGTCATTTTTTAAAACTTTTTTTTTTGCAGTCTGGTGATGGAGGGGGGGAAATCAATTCACAACAAAAAGGTAAGAGAAAGGAATAAAAAGTTCACATGTTGTAAAAATACATTTCCCAACTTCAACGTTACACGCAGTTCTATTAAAACATTCATTCTTGTGTTGTTAGGTGTCAGTGCGACAAATACGCAAAAAAAAGGAGCAGAAGAGAGAGAGAGAGATAGAGAGAGAGAGAGAGATAGTAAGGAAAGCATCACAGAGAAAGACACTCACTGTTAAAAGATGAACTGTGTAAGAGAGCTCTGGAGATCTACACCGTGATTTTCTTTCGGATGGAGGAAAAGTGTGTAGCTGGCGGCTGAAGGATATGTTGTGTATCTGAACCCTGAGAGAGAAACTGACTGCTCCATATCAGTCCATATCTGTCCTCTTCAGCTTCCCTTCATGGACTACCACATGGGCAGCTTCTGAAAGGGTCTTTCATAGTGCCCGAGCATTTCACACCTCAAAGTGAAAGCCATGTGTGTTCTGCGGAAATAAGCATCAGAGCAACATACGGCTAAAGAAAACAGCTTCCTCTCTCTTACATGCGTGTTTGCCGGGGGAAAGAACGAGAATCACCAAGCCTACGACATTAAGGCAGCGAGGAGACCACGGGACGCCGAGGGTGAAAAATGGAATGAGACTCATCTTGAAATGTTTCAATACAACATGTCGAACACTGAATGACACAAACTAGATCAAAAAGGGTCTCATTTCTTGGTTGTAACACATAGTGCACTTCTCATATCAAAGCTTGATGACGGCAAAGAAACACCACGATAATGCTAGAAGAAATTCAAAAATGCTGTAGTACAGGGACCTTTTTACAGAGCAGCTATAAAGTGTTACGAATAAAGGGCATCACTGCAGTCAAGGAAAAGCTGCACGTCACTCAAAACTCGACGTCAAAGTGTGGCCGATGGAAAAAGCGAGGGGGGCGGGGCCTGAAAACATGCATTAATCCATCAGAACTAACGATTGAGGGCGATGACCTTATGGGAACATATACGACAACTATCTAGAACGGGCCGTTCGTACACAGCAATGAATCCCCATTCACACTCATTTACAAACAGCTTCAGACCCCCTTTTGTTTCATTTATTAGCATACATCTTGTCCGAGACATGAAACTGTGCTCCTTTATACAGAAAAATACAAAAATCACAGATCGAGAACTATCTAGAGCTAAAGCCTGAGATTCAAACTACATCTAACGAACCAATATAGACATCCTATGCATGGAGAAAAAGAAACAAAGCTTTATTTTAACATCTGTGAATGAAAAACTGATGTTCTGGATAAGCAGTCACACACTTTCGCAAACATGCAGACTCATACACACCCTCTCATGAGCTAAAAACAACAAAAAAAGAAGCTGTACAAAGCGAGAAAGATTTGAGCTTACATTCAATATCTGTTACTGAGGTACTAGAAAGGCCTTTCTCTTCAGACAGAACGCTAATCGAGACACTCTCCTACCTTCTTTGGAAAGCAACCAGCGTTTCAATGACCTAGCTTTTACATTCTTTCCACCTTATCTTCTGTGCTCTAAATGGTGTATACGTGGAGAGGGCTGATATTATCGATGCCCATGCAAATGTCAAGCTCTAAGTATGAGCAGCTTTTAATTCGGTGTGGCCCATCCTGAGTTTTCTGGAAGTGTGAGACAGACAATGAGCGATGGATGGAAGGGCCCACGACAGGTCTGCTAAACTTTTACTGTGCAAGCATCAGCTGAGCGAGGATGAATTATCTGTGAACCTGAGGGGGGGAAAGCAAGTCATCGCCACCTGCTGGTCATCAACAGTACTACAACCTCCATAAACCTCCCAGAGAAGGTGGATGAAAAGGTATATATCAGGTTTGTACGAAAATGTGTTTGTGAGTTTAAGAAATCGTGTTAAGAGTTTAAGTGCCTTGTTGGAAGTAGGAAGGGCCGGGCGGATGGGCTACACAGTGATTTCATGAGAGCTGAAGACACGAGCGGAGATATGAAGGGTGGACATGCCTCGCTACGTCACAAAGAGAAGGCCTAATCGGAAAAAGGAGGCACAAGGAGGAAGTACAGCAAGATATAATCCAGGACAAAGAGAAGATATGGAAAACAAGGCAAATATTCTTCAAATGGCTAAGAATAAAAAATAAAAAAAAGGTGCCAATATTTTCAGCTTAGCTATGGTGGATCTCAGTACGAGTCAAGCGGAGGTCAATGTTGTAATAAGACCATCTCCTGTTTTGTTTCGTTTGTAGGGAGTTTAAAGGTGTCTCAAATCTCGCAGATATATCTTATGCTATACACTTTGTCAAACGAATATGGCTTTATTTGAAACTGTATGAAGTTGACTCCCAGCGTTATCAAGCTGTTCACAAAGAGGGACAATGGGATTTCAATGACACGGTTATGCAGACGCTGTAAACCCTAAAGTGGAGCACACGATGAAATCCCCAACAGCTCTGGAGGTGAAGCTCAATCTCTTGTTTTCTGCGAAGAGACAAAAGGATGGGCATTTCTAAAAGATGCCTTCCACATGAAGAGAGAGTGAGAGGAACGCAAAACATCTGAGCTCTTCCCGTGGGCCGAGTTACTCTCAGCCACAGGCCATCACCATTAGCCTTGATCTCCGTTATTGAACACCAGCTGGGAAACAAACACTGATGGCTGTTGAATTTAACGGTGTGAGCCAGCTGTTACTCTGTTTTGACCATCAAACGTTTGCTGAGATGGGACGAGTTAAGAAGGTTTACAAATGTATGCTAAGTGGAGGATGGGCAGGGGATGAAGGAAAGAAAACAAGGTCCATGCGTTTATTTCCACGCTGTTAAAACAGATAAGAATAGAACAGAAATGTAAGAAACTACTCGGAAAACAAACTCCTACTAGTCCAGAGTAGATACAAAGCAAAGGAACTGGGATTTCGAAGCTTAGAAATAGTGTGTATCAACCCAATTATTGAATCCTTGAGAGAAGTTATTGCTTTCTGCCAAAGTGAACAACAGAGAATACAGCGAGTGGAAATGAGGGTATGTTTGGGGTAGAGGGTTTCACTCCTGGGTTGTACACGTGTTCTGTTGGACTGGGGTGACCCAAGGTCACATCAAAAGCAGGGGTGTAAGTCCCACTGAAAGGGCACCGATCAGGGCGAAGATGGAATGTGCTGGGATGCTATTGGTCGGAAGGGATGTCTCTGTCTGCCTCAGCCTTGGAGGGTTGCCCGGGGGAAGGGGTATGAGGTGGGTGCGAGACCGGGGCGATGGCGTGGGCCAGTGGTAGAGATCCAGCCACAATGCCCTCCACTCCTGCCCCGGCTCCGGGCAGCCCACCCGCTGCTACGCCAATCAGCCCTGCAGGAAACCTACGACAAAGAAGGGAGTCTTGTTTACAAATACACAGCCAAACTATAGACACACTAAAGGCAGTCATGTCTAGGTATAGTCACCTATAGGCTGCAGCTCCATTGAGTTCAGAGTGCACAGTGGTGGCCTCCATAGACGGCCACTGAGAGGCTGCCATCAAATACTCCTTATTCACACAGTTCTTCAGACTGTCTGGGATACGACCTGCACAGGAGAGCATGGGGTCAAGGATGAAGACCTCCAATCAGAAATCAATTACTTGTACATCAACCAAAGAAAGGGTCAGGGAATTGTGGGCTATTTATGCTGTTGATGAATTACAGTGGAAGAATTTTAATTTCTGCAAATTTCAGAGCTTATAGATTTCAGAAAATGACTTTCATCAAGGCGGTCACACCAAAAACATGGGTATATTAAAAAAAAAATTTCAGCAAGAACAACTACTTAAATATTAGAGCAAATGGAAACAATATACCATGGTATTACGCCAAATGTTTCTTTATTACGGAAAAAAACAACTACTTTCTATATGAAACAGGATGACTCTGTGTGGAGTTTGCATGTTCTCTCTGTCACCTTACTCTGGGTATTCCAATTTCCTCCAACAGCCCAAAGACATGTAGGCTATGTGAATTAAAGATCCTAAATAGTCCCTTTTCTAACATTTATACAAAAAACACTTGAGAGTATATTATCAAAATTAATATATAGCCCTGAATGCTGGAATGGCATTTAGAAAATAACTTACAGATTCTCGCCAATTTTTTAATATCAGTGGAGCTGTATTGTTTCCATAAGCTCTTTAACAAATTTAAGAAAAGTATTTTGATAAGCTGGTGTTTATTTTGTGACCACCTGTTACAATATCACATACATTAGGTATCTTCAGGAATCAGTAAGCTCTGACAATGGGCTATGGACAAAAAAATTATTCAGACGATGCAACACTGAGAACTTTGGCATTTTAACCATGTATTTGTATGAATTTCACATTAAGAGTGTGCAGCAAGATTTTAATACAACTCAACATTAAAAGTCACGTAAAATATATGATCAAACTGCCAAAACAAGAGTAGCTGCGACCATATTCAGATTATTTTTAATGGTTGCCTTTTTGCTTTTAATCATGCAGTTTGAATGCTCCATAACAGCTGGACAACAAAAATATTCCTACAAATAAAAAGCTAAAACTCGTAAGCCTGCCTACAGGTCTTAGGGTACATTTACTTTACACAATTACAGACAAAACAAATTATAAATTAATTTTATATAAATATATATAAAAAATTAGATAAAAATATAAATATAATAAATAAATATTAATATTATTAATATATATTTTATTAATTAATAAATTTCTTTTTTGCACAAAAAGGCAATGAACGAAACATAAACCAATGCCCTTTATTAACACATTAGCAGTAATTGGTGATGTTACTTTGGCAAAGACACATTAAGTGCATGCGCACATATAATCCTGTAGTCCATCATTGTTCTTTTGCATGTCAACTACTCAGTCATGTCTAGTCTCAAATTTACACAATAGTAGTGAATATGCCCTTTTCAAAGTTTTTTGGACTTTTGCCCAAGTCATTTAACTCACTCGAAGCCTGCTGTCATGTACTGGCAGATAATGATTATTTAAATATTATAGATTTCTGTGAAAAATGAACAGTGAATAAGTAAATAAGTGTGTATTCCTACTGTGCAGACCCTGGGAACAGGCAGAAGCAGATAGTGAACACCTGGGGATGTCTGACCTGTGATGGCTCTGCGCACCTCCCGCGCTGCCTCCTCTCGGGCCTCAATGGAGGCCTGTTCACTGTACCAGGATGTGTGTGGGGTACAGATAAGATTAGGGGCATCCTTCAGTGGGCCCTGAGAGAAACTGTTGAAGGAGGAAAATTTGGATTGTCACAACAGAAAAAAATAACCTCAAATATGGGGCCCTGTCAGAGACCCGCTGTTCAATATAAATTTTGCAGTACATTCCTAAAATGACTTTCACTGCTTGTTCAACATACTTACTTAAAATGAGTTAAATTAACTTAATCATTTTATGTTCAATCCACTTAAATTTTTAAAAGCAATTCAGTTACCTTAATCGATTTGTATGTGGACAACATGAAGGAATTGTGTGGAACCAAACATTTTTTATAGTGTAGCAAGAAGTCTTGAGACCAATACTGTGTGAATAGCCGCTTTTCCACTATCGTGCTGAATCGTTCTTTAAACAGAACTGTTCCATTCCGTGCCAAACCGGGCCAGACAGCACGGATAAGGTTTCATTTTCCACTGTCGTGCTGCGACAAAGCTCTTTAAAACATTACACAAACCGCATCAGTAGTTGCCTTGGTAACGCAATGTAAACGGCTCCCTTTGTTCAATTAAAGTTAAATAAGAGCCGAAACTATTTTTTCTTTTTCATAAAAGCGAAAGCAACCATGTGACTAAACACTGTTATACTGCTCTATCAAATAGGTGCTAAATATAGGTACATGTGCACCCTTATTTATTTATATGTTGCACAGCTCTGGCTAAATTTTATTTGGAGGGAAAATTACCAAAATGTAACGTGATGATTGAAAATAATTGGAGGGGAAATAAATAGTATTTAAAATCTCTGAACATAACAGAAAAATAAACAATGATAAGACAACAATAATAGTGCATTTGCATTAAAGTGGCAGAAATATAATTTTGGACAGGCCTTGTCAAAGGTGAGCGGGCACTTTCACTAATAAAAACACAGCACATAAATTATTACATTTTTAACAATTAATTAAATTACACTGCGTTTTTATATCAAAATTTGATAATGATATAAAATATACTACATTTTGATGGTAAAATGAAACCAATTAAGCGATGTCTGTTATTTGTTTTACTAATCAAACATTAAATAACGAATGCAGCAAGTGAAATAAAAAACGAATATGAAACAATATATAGCAGGATTTAAAGCATATAAAGCACCATTATATTTAGCAAAATGCTGCTCTATTATCTTTTTATTTTGATCATTTTATTTTTATTATTATAATTATTTGTGTTCATAATTAACTAACAAGCTGTAGGCGAATTATTGCTAGACGTTTTAGAAAATATTTGCATAGCTATATTAAAGATCACCAAGAACAAAAAAACAAAAACACAGAAACATGTTACATGCCTCATAAATGTCATATAACTTATGTATAACTGAACCATTTAATTGCCAATAGCTGAAATGATGAAAATTGCTCATTTTATTTTTATAAAACATTTGTCAAAACGTAGCTATTGATATTTTTTGAGTAAAAGCAATACTGACATTTAAGAATCCATATTTATTTAATTCAATTATTCTTTTGACTTGTTTATTAGTGCATATGCTATAATATAAATCATACAACAGTACCTTGGACAGTTACAGTGCCGCTCCGTAAAGCTTTCAAGCAAAGTCTTTTGGACGGCCGACATTACAACACGCCGTCTCTCAGGGGGTCTCGCCCGTATTAACAAGCTGTCCTGGCTTTGAATTAAAAAGTGCAATTATTTCCTCGTTGTTAAAAGAGTCTGCAAGTTCGTGTTCCATGGATATATATATATCGTGATGTTGTTGTGGAATTTGGACATCGACGATGCTAAGCGTGACTTTATTCGCTTTATTCGATGCGCAGCAGGAAAAAAAAGTCAGCAGCGCAAGTCGCTGACATGTCTCTCCCGGATCAGAGCGAGTTTTGTGCTGTGAAATACAGCGCTGCATGCAATAAACTCACATTCAGGCAGGCGAAGTATGTCTGTATTCAAGTCAATAAAATAATAACTTTAATGAACAAAATATCTTCGTAAGAATGTGATGAGTTATTCTCTTCTTTGCCAGAGACTGCTCTATGGATCATTATTTTATATTAAATGTACTGTAGTTTATTGAGGATGTCTGATGACTAGCACACTTCTGCTGAGCCAGCTGTGGTAGCTTAGCAACCGAGTAGCGACGTCAACACACAGAATCTGTCAGCACAGTTCAGCATGGTTGTCTAACAGTGCCGTGCCGCGCCGTTCCAGGCTCAGTGGAGAAACAACCGTAACCGTACCGAAGTGTTCTTAGAACGGTTTGGCACGATAGTGGAAAAGCAGCTAATATAAAACATGATAGACATATGAAAAAAATAAGACTATGTGCTTCCCCTCACCTGAAGGGCTCTGTCTCGTGGACGTCCAGTGCTGCTCCTCGTATTCTGCCCTCTTTCAGAGCCTGAGCCAGAGCTTTCTCATCCACAAGACCACCACGCGCAGTGTTCACAAGGAAGGCGCCTTGACGCATCTATATGAAAAGCATTGATTTATATTTTAATTAAGACAGGTTCTCTATTCAGATGTGCACAAAAATGCAGTATTGTTTGTTACTTCCAATTTAAAAAAACAAGGCAACAGAAGCTTTATTTTTTTCTAAACATAACCTGCTCCATAGCATCTTCTATTGCAGAAAACATGAGGTATAACAGGCACATGCTGTTATAAATGAAAGGTTCACATCACAGTAATAATGTGAACAGTAATAAAATAAACAACTTAATGTTGTTTATTTTTTTTTTAGATTATACATCATTTTCTTATCTTGCACACAGTTCTACATCCAAAGTATTTATATAAAATGTGTTCAGAAGGTGACGATTTGCACTCATTAAATAATTACTATGTAAAGCTTTATTTTACATTCTTAGGGGATACAAAACACAGACAATTGGGCACAATGCATTTCTTAGTGCTTGATGCACTGTACTGAAACATCTGTGTTTTGTATGCCCAAAGAATGTAAAATAAAGCTATAAAAAGTAATTAATGAGTGCAAATCATGACCTTCTGAATAATATTAACTAGATTAACACACCTAAAAAAAATGTACAAACCATGAGTGCGCAGTGCAAACTTTATTACTAAATGTGATTCTATAAATTTATGCAATAATAAAAATAAGTAACACAAAGATGCGCATCACATGTGGGGAAAAAAAACTAAAAAATCATGTACAGCCATATTTAACAAAAACTGTTTTGCTCAATCGATCTACTTAGCATCACTACTCATTTAGAGTAATGAAAAGCTGATTAAACAAATTGCAAAACTGCCCAGTAGGTGGCGCAATGCACTTATAATGCAAATCACTAATTTACCAAAAAAAAAAAAAAAAAGACAAGCTCCTTATTGTCCATTCAATCCACTGTGAATTAGTAACTAAAATCCAAGAACAAGTGCTTTAAACAAGGAAGATTGAGGCAGGTTATACTCATAACAACTAAAATTCATACTGGAATCAACTCAAATGTCTTCATTCTTACCTGTTTGATGGTGAAGTCATTGATGAGGTGGTGGTTGTGTTCATTTAGGCTGCAGTGTAGCGAGACACAGTCCGAGTGCATAAGCAGGTCCTGTAGTGTCGCCATGCGCTGGAGCCCTAGTGATCGCTCCACTCCATCAGGCAGGTACGGGTCGTAGAAAATCACTCCAAATCCAAAGGCTTTCGCCCTTAGAGCCACTGCCTGCCCCACACGTCCTGAAAATAAGCAATTAGAAAAAAAATATTTTTGAATCACATTACTACTCACAAAATCCCTGAATTTTCTATGAAAAAAAAAATGACTCTCTAATAGAGGGAAGACTGCATTACGTTTTTAATATACTTCATTGAAAAAAATTGGGTGTGTATGTTGCCTCTTCATGTGAAATCACTTAATACTAGGGATGTAACGGTATCAGAATTTCACGGTACGGTAATACCTCGGTATGAATGTCACGGTACGGTATTTATTGAATCATTTACAGGAAAAAAAAAAACTTTTGAAAATACTCCCAAAAAAGTGCCAAAAGTGTCAATGACATACAAATTAGCCATCTATCTGTTAGCTTTGAAACAGGAACTTCAATTTTAATAACAAAAAATTATTAAACCATGTAAAAAAATAAAGTTTCAATTTAGTATTGTTAAAAACTCATCACATTTAACATTTAATCACTCACTTAGATAGAGATGGGTTTAAAGGAAAATTATCATATAACTATAATCTGGTAAAAGCTGGTATCTCTGGGTATTTACAATGTCCCCTGCAACAGAAAAAAACCCTCTCATTTGGGACTGAGGATTCTGGGACAAGAGAGATATGACTTGGCCCATGTTGACAGCAGTGGGGTAACATTGTGCATTGTCTTTCCCCCACTTGAGAGGACAAACCATGAGTGAGATAGAGATCTCTTTGCGGTACAAGTCAATGTCTGCATCAATCTGAACAGTGTGCTGTGTTTCTGCAGTCCCCATGACTGTTATTAGTCGTATTCCCCAACTTGCAGGCACGTGCACACATAGGGCTCAACCTGTGCAGTGCACATGCCCTTTTTAGTCTTGGATAGAAAATGCCCTTCCAAAACGATCAAAAGTGCCCCCGCGACGCGACACAACCTCCGTCCAGTCCAGCCCTTCAGTAGGCGCGCGATAACACCTCTCTTGAGTATGCGCGCTCAACCCCCCCTCGGCGCTTTACAATACGCGCGCCACAACACAGCTGATCAGAACGCGCGCGACAGCACCGCTATTTAGCACGCGCGCGGCGACAACACCCGCTTTAGGTTCGATCATTTCCATCTTTTTTTCATCTCCGCTACTAGCAGCACACTCCATTTCCGCATTACTGGATCTGTAGCGACAACAGACCGCAAAGGATTATGGCCACGCCGGGGCTGATGGGAAATGAAGTTTCAGCTACCTCCCGTTCGCTTCATTCGCCTGAGCAAATTTTCTCAGAAGACCTATAGTTTTACCGAGTCATGCGACTTCGGTAATATCGAAAAAATGTAATATTGCGGTATGACGGTATTTACAATACCGTTACATCCCTACTTAATACCCACTCATTTGTAAGTTGCTTTAGGTATGAGCATCTGGTAAACAACTACATGTAGTCGATGAATAAAATAAAAAAAATTAAATTCAAAAATAAAATCACGGAACAGCTTATACATTAAGAGGTCTCAATTTGTCAATCTAATATGCATAAGCGGTTCGTGATTTTCCAAACACGTCTATTTTATTTTATAGTATGTGCTAATCAGCTGCTTTTATTTGGATTAAAAATAAACATGTAAATATTCCAGTGAAATTGTTTGGCAAATCACAATGACCAGTTTTTCTTTTACTTACATTTTTACTGGCTATCACCAGCAGAGTTTTAAAATTTATTTGCCATGTTTTTAAAATCATATGGGTTTGATCAATAAATAAACAAACCCTTTGTAAAAACTCCAGAAATGTAAAAAAGAATAAAACTAACATTTTGGTGTCTTGGAAGTGGTGAAACAGATTTCTGGCTCAGTATGAAATAAAACTAGAAAAACTGGCCTTTTAAATGGATTAAGCTCAATTAATTAAAATTAACCTGAAGGCATAAACAGATGTCAACAATTCAGTGTTAAAACTAAAAACAAGATTAAAATCTTAATCAGGATAGAAAGAATAGTTATGCGTCTTAAATCTCTTTATATAGTGAAATATTTAGATAATACTATCATGACAATATCATACCAAGTTAAAACTTGTACTCTAGTAATTCTACATATGCAGTGTAAATGTGCTGTCAGCTGTCTGCTTAACTGATCTAATTCTCCTTCCAGCACTGATTCATGGTGCCCTCTGATTAAATCACATCAGGACTCACCCAGCCCAATGATGCCCAGCGTTTCTCCTCGAATACGTGCTGCGCCTCCGGCTACTTCCCGGATCTGCTCCACGCTGGAGGCTCGGGTGCCTTCACGCAGTGCCTGATGCATCCAAGTGACGCGGCGGTACAGATTCAGAATTAGACACATGGCAGTGTCTGCCGTCTCCTCCACAGATGCAGCTGGCACATTACACACTGCAATACCTGTTGAAGACACAGATCCAGTTTGACTAAAACTCATTCAATCCAACAAGATTCTTTCATAACGCAAGAACAAAACTTACCAAGCTCTGCTGCTGCTTTAATATCAACGTTGTCGAACCCACTACCGATCCTCACAATGACCCTGAGGCCTTTGAATTTGTCCAGGTCATCTCGTGACAGTGTAATGGTGTGGTAGAGCAGAGCAGCAACAGCCTCATTTAAGACCTACAGCACGAAAGCCTCATGAAACTCACTGTATTAAAGCTGACTGTAATGAACATGGAAAAATCCTTATGACGATACCTTCTCATGGATCTCCTGGGTGGACTGGGCATCGCAGAAAGCCACAGTGGCCACGTCCTTCAGGATGGGCATCTCCACTGTACAGTCCCGTCCATCCAGCAGCGCCACCAGAGGACGAGGGTGCATTGGGCCATTGAGGATGGGTGGTCGAATGCCTGCAGGGCACCAAAAATTCTTTAATTTACAGGAAACTCAAACAGCTTTCAATTAAGTACAGTTCTGGTGACATCAGAAAACACAAATGAATCCTTTGCATACACCTACAAGCAAACATTTTAAAAATCACAGTAGTAAACCAGGAGTTTTGTAAACTAGCAATGGAGACAGTTCACTCCAAAATTGTATTTGCTCATCCTCAATTGGTTATAAACCGAGTTTCTTTCTACTTTTGAGCACAAAACCAGATATTTTGAAGCAAGCTGGAAGCTATTGTTTTTCCTACTATGGCAGTCAATGGTTACAGGTTTCCAGCTTTCTTCAAAATATCCTGTTTTGCAATCAACAAAATAAAAACTCCATGTTTGGAACAAGTGAATGAAGAGAAAATGACAAATTACCTTTTCAAGGGTGAACTGTCCCTTTAAACAACCTTAGCTTCTCCAACCAAGATGACATTTACCACAAGCATCATTAAATCAGATGATCTATATACATATGATTGGTTCACTGAGTCTAAACGCCTCCTAATTCTCTTCATTAGCACTTACCCGATCGTTAAGCGGCATTAAAGAACACATTTCTGTAAAAACCCTAAAGCATAATAAGACACAAAGCTAAATATTACCCAGTATTTCAAGACTATCGATTTCGTTTTACAAAACAGATGCTATCAATGACTTGCATCAACAAACATCTATATTAAATGAGACAGAACTATTACACCCCCCCCCCCCTTCCTCCTCCTCCAAGAAAATCTCTTATATTTTCAATGTTAACGGCCTGACAAATTCCTGGAATGCATTTTATGATTGTTGCCATTATGAGGCAAGACAACAGCCCCTAACAACCTCAGGGTCCAGCCCCACCCCCCGAACCTGACAAACGAAAGTGTGAGCAAGGGGATGGAGGGATTGAGGGAGGGAAAAAGATGAGGAAAGGGGGCAGGGAGTCTTCACATGACTCATAATGACCTACATTCAGCAGACTGGAAGCTACATTATCTTTGTCTACATCCTTCAAAAGTACCTACTTCTGGTCTAATACTGCAAATATGGACTTATTAGGGGAGTAAAACATGCCATTTAATTTAGCAGTTGCATAGTAAAGCCTGCAACGAGCCATACACGTTTATCGACATCTGAAATTCCACATTTATTCACTCTCAAGTAATTCCTGAGCTTCTTTTATGATCATAAATAATAATAATAATAATAATAATAATAATAATAGAAATAATACTATGCAGTATGACAATATATATTGTATGGTCAAAATTAAGTCTCCAGTATTTGTGGCATCACAAAATACATTGTTTACAGAAATATTTCATAAATTTATACAAATACAATATAGCATGTCATTAAAGGGATGTAAACAAAAATATGAATAACAGCACTGTGAGAAAGTTTAAAGTAAAAGCCAACCTTGAAATCAAATGTTTATATTCTGCAATTTATTAAGCAATATTTCTTTCTTTTTGTTGATTACATTTGTACTATATAATGATTTATTTTATATATTTCTACATTAATAAAACATTTGCCTGTAACTAAAAATAAAGAGAAATATAATCACATATGAGTAAATCTGAGTTATGTGGTCAAAATATTTTTATATTATCATCTATTAATTTATCGAATCTATATAAAAATGGTAGTAAGGCTACATAATATATCGCTTGAGCATCAATAATATCGTAATGTGTGCATCCACAATAGTCACATCACAGGACATGCAATGTTGAGTTAGGATTATGGATGACCAGAAACCATAGGCCAAACACAAAATTTGTGGAGACACTGCAGAATTAGGGTTAATCATCTGCATGCGTTTTTAGGGCCTGGAACTGTGTGAGCACTTAAACCCCTTCTAAAGAAGTTTATAAAAAAAAAAAATAAATAATCGAATTAATTTTATTAAATTATTCATATGGTGAAGATTATTATTTTCATTTAATTATTCAATTTCTGTTCCATACTGTTGCTCTCTCCAGAAAGCACGGTTTATTTCACTTTAATATTTGCTCAATTGTGTTTAGAACTGTACTTTACATATATAACTTTACATATATAATAAATTACATAAAAATATATTTATATTTCACTCCCCTACAAATCTTTTATACCTAGTTATAAATTGTTTTAACTGTTATATATATATATAATACTTCCAAAGCATGGCCAAATCCACCAAATACATTTTTCTAAACTTATTTGTAAAACTACATTTATTAAACTTAAGTTTCACAAAGCAATAAAAAAATATATATATACTGGTTTGAATAAACATGGTGAAAGTCACTTTCATCATTTTCAATTTCATGCCCCTGTTAAAGTAGTATTCCAAATGTAAAATATCAGCATTTGGAGTTCTGCATTATTCTGTTGCATAATATTCCATTACCTTGTACAAGTTTGTTTGGCACAGCCTTATTTAGAGATCCAGGACATTCAGAATAACATGCATGTGCCTTTTCCTTTAAAAACCTGTTTAATAAGGTGTCAAGATATCCATTTTTAGTACATATAGAGTAGAACAAGCCTGGAAAAAGCCTGGCACAAATGACTATTTCTACTATATATATATATATATATAAAAATATAAAAACTATATATGTAAAAATTCCTTCACGCAGACCCAAAACAAATAAAGTTAATCGTAATTGTTTTTACAAATTATAGTGGATTTGACATAACAATTAAGCTGTCTTTAAAAAAAAAAACTCAATATTTTTTTATATTATTTGAGTGTAGTCTTAAAAGCTTTTTAATAAGTATTAAACCTGCTTAAAATGCCAAATTGACCACATAAGGCACATGACAGAGACAATCATGTCTTTTCACAACGCATTTTAGAAATTATGAATGCTGACTGTATGAATGAAAGTGTCTCACAGTCACAATTGACGGAGGAAAAAAAAAAGCTGTGATGGCATTTTTATTCATAGCTGCACATTTTTTCAAATCAGTGGGTTAAAAAGATGACATATCTGACAATAAGGAACGTCTGCCAGTTACAGCTGCACACAGAATAAGTACATAAAGGACATTCCATTAAAAAAGCAAAAAAAAAAACGAAACCAGCTTGGGATGAATTTCCGAAATGTACAACACAACAAGACTCCTGGGATGAAAGGCATGAGGATGCAAGACAAGAATGCAATTGATCTGCATCAGACTCCCATCATGCATCAGGACTTCCCATGATCAATAACCCTTACATATCCAAAATACCTAAAAGTAAATCACGACCACCAAATCTGTTCATTTAAGTAGAACTAAAAGATGCTCCTCAAGAGATTCAAAGCACAACCAGAAGTATCAGATAGCAGTGTGATTTTTTGCTTGCCATGTAATGATCTCATTATCACACTTGTCTAAGAATAGCATTGAAAAATGTGCAGAACTGTTCATCTAAGAACAGACAAAAGCCTAAAACTGATTACCAAATAGACATGGGACAATAACGTTTTAAGGTTTACCGCAGTTTGAAAAAGGTTTTAAAACTGCCAAAATGTTCTACTATACCATTCCTACAGAATATGTACATTTTTTTTTACGTTTTGTTAGTAAGACAGTATCTCCAGCAGAAAGAGACCCAAGATGCCGTTTTGTACTGAAATCAGTGTTCTTGAAACTAATGAAGACAGCAAAAGTCAATGCTTGATTTGAATTATTTAGTCTGACATGTTTACCGCTCCAAAATATCTTATGTTTCTTAAAATAAGATGTTTTGTGTTCAAAGGGGTAAAAAAGGTTCTAGTTTTTTATCCTGACATTTAAAAAGAATATATTTTAGAGCAGTAATCCCACTATCGAAAACCCAAAATCAGAGGTTATTATACCATCAGAATCGCATACCAGCGCATGCTTATTACCAAATAATGATACTTGTGTAAAGCACATCTGATGGCCATCTGAACAGCCATGTTACATTCAACGATTTTATAACCCAACACCCCCTCTGCAGCACAGACAGGTGTTGATGCACTAGCAGCTGAAATGCAAGGAAGCAAAATGATCTGATCTCAGCAACAACAACAAAAAAAAGCTAAACCTATGTGACAGATTGAAATGCATGATACCAAATGTGTCTCTCCAAATGCTACGTATTTATCGTCACATCAGGCACTTATTTTAAATTTCATATCAAAATTAATAATGAAAACATTACATGACATTATAATTCAATAAGACAATAAGTCTTTCTAAATAAATGTTTCAATATACACACAAAGGGTGATTCAGACATCAGTGACATGAAGTGAAATTAGATAAACGTGTACATATCAAACATTCAAATGTGCAGAGCTGATTCGCCAGTCTACGTTCTGAGCACTTGTAAGGCTCATGCATGTGAATCTGGCAATGCATGTGTGCATTACATCTTTTGCATGAATTATAATTGAGACCAATTTGCTGCCATATTAATGGGGGTGGGGAAAGCCGCCTCCGAGATGCCTGCTAACATTTACACTCAAGCTACTACACTCCTGTGCACAGCTAATGATTAAGGAGCTTGCAATAACGAGGCTTTCGAAGACAAATATTTGCTCTTTCCCTCCAAAAAAAAAAAGGAGAGAAAAAAAAAAAAAAAAAAATCAATGCTATGTGGAAACGCATACTGCGGCACAAAGCATTCTGGGGGCAGAATAAACCTGATATATAAAACAGGCACAGCGGTGAAGCGGTAAAATGGCCAAGCAGTGCACCAGTGTTCTAGCAAGGAACAATGCAAATACTTTTTGCTGTAGGGTCACGGTGAGAACGCTGCTGAGAGCACAGATGCCGTGCGTTGAGCCTGCGCCAGACTGCATGAGAAAGAGAGAGGGCCGCAACACAAGCATGGCCATGCAAACAATGCCATTCATTCAGCGCTCATTTCTCCTCCACTTCACCCCCCTCCCAAACCTTCTCTCGCTCTCCCTCCCTCGCCATTACACCCCCCACATGGTCCTTCCACGCACACACGGTCTCAAGGAGAGGGGGGGAAGGGT